TAACACACTTTTACACAATTTGCGTACAAATAGCGGCCATTTTGTCAGGCAGTTTCATTTCGATTTGTCCGAAATTCGAATTCAACCTTCATTACGGTGGAATGGTGAAATATTTAAACGGTTTTTAAAATCGGAAAAAAAATTGTGACCTCTAGAGACTCCGCAAGCTAAAAATGCGATTTTTCGAACAATCAAGCTAAAAATGGTGATGTATTTAAAACGGTTTTTAAAATCGGAAAAAAATTGTGACCTCTAAAGAATCCGCAAGCTAAAAATGCGATTTTTTTGAACAATCAGGGGCCATAATCCAGAAAGTTAAGTTCAGGTATCCACGATTATCAAAAGGAACCAAGATCTTAGTGTGTAATGGTGATATATTCACACTTTTTTTTAAATCGGATAAAAATTGTGACCTCTACAGGGACTACAAGCTAAAAACGTGATTTTGTGTTCAATCAAGGGCCATAATTCAAGAAGTTACAATCTGATATGCGCGAATATCAAAAGGAACCAATATCTTTGGGTTATAAACATGTATTTCAAGTTTTATCGAAATCAGATCAAAATTGTGACATCTAGCGGGTCTAGAACATTGATTTACCAGATGTTTACACTATTTGCGTACGAGGGGCGGCCATTTTGTCCGGCAGTTTTGGCCTTAACAATTTTCAGACTTTATTTTCGAAGATTGAGGCCCCTTTATGGACCCTTTATATCATATTGAGGTATTTAAATTTGGATTCACACCCTCGACCACCAATAGGAGTAACAGAAGTTTAAGAAATGAATTAAGTGTAGTTTTCAAGATAAAAAGCGTCTGTATAGGCTCCCAAAAGGAAAATACCAGATTTTGAGCGTCCCATAATCTTGTCACCACGGTCTGTCAAGACCCTATAATTACCTTTCTATGGTTGAATTAATTATGGGTTATCTTAACATTGATATGACATCTTAGAGCATAGTCCTCTTAACTAGTAGTCTAATAAGAATGAGACTGAATGGAATAATGTGTCCTAATGGTAATATTTTAATACATGTATATAATTAATATTATAAGCCCTTTTTTCTATGTCTATAATCTTCTTTGTATTCTTTAATATTTTAGTCTGTGTCTAAATTGTTGTGTTATGGTAATAGTAATATAGGTATCTAGGGGTTACATCTTCATAGATATATAAATATGGAGATGGCCCCATGAAGAAGGCAAGTTAGGGAAGAGATACAGTTAACAGGCTACATTTAACAGGCTACAGTTGTGCATAATTCTGTATACCTATAATATAGTTCTGAATATTATCTGTTATAAATTGTTATTACTGTATCTACATAAAGTTCTACGACTACTGAATAAAGTGTTTATGATTTATGAATAAGAAGAGACCTCTAAGATGAATTGACAACAGTACTAAGAACCAAGCTGGTTACAATCTATTGCCTAACCATCGAATTGATATCATTTGGATGTCAATAGATCATCCATTATTCAGGCTATCCAATGACACTTTAGTTGTTTTGATTCGGTGAAATCTGACGCAGTAATCACTTTTTTACGTTTTTTTTTTCAAAATATCGGTTAATTTTTCAACTACTTCCGTTTTTTGGATCATTATCGGGATAATTTTAGCAAGTTGTTTGGATACTTAACTTTCTGTACCAGAAGTTTCAGAAACATCCATTGAGCTGTTTTAAAAAAAAAAAGAAAAATAGAAGAACAATTTTTCAACCATTTTCAAAGATTGAAGCCCTTTTTGGACCACTTATATTGTTTCAATGTTTTTATTTTTGAATTCACACTCTAGACCACCGATAGGACTGTGAGTAAGAAAAGTTTAAGAGAATTGTAGGTGTCGTTTTCGTGAAAAATGGGTTCCCAAAAGGCTCCAAAACGGACTACAATACGAATCAAGTTTGGGAACTTAACCCTTAACCCCCCACAAATTTATGATGAGGATATTACCAAATGTGGTCCCCATTGTGCTTATAAAGATTGGAACCAACGGAATGTTGAGCATAAAGCTAAAGCTTGTGATGTTACAGCCATTTAACATTGAAGTCAATGGGCAAATAATTACTAGTCTGGGTTCATTTGAAGACTAAAGGGAGATAATCAACCTTAAATATTTCAAATAACTTAATTACAAAATATCTCTAAACTTAATTAAAATATACGTAGGCCTACCCCAAACATCTGCAGGTTTTAAGTTGATTGATCCTATCGCTGAAGATGTATTTCCACCAATAATTATCCACCATATCTGTCGTTGTCTATTGGCTGCATGTGTTTATCACTGGCAGGAATTGTAGGTGTGATTTATACCAAATAGTTATATAATACCTTGTCTTGCCCAGTTAAAGGACAATATTGGTGTCAGTCATTATCACATATGTGATAGAACTGGTTAAACACGTTCCAAATATAATTTCAACACAGATATCATTGCTATGATAGATGCGTTATGAAGCTTTCAAGAACGGGAATTGACGAATGCAAAAGGAAAACACGAGTTATCCTTCTATATAACTGACTGAAGTGACGAGTGATAAGAGATGCACAGGCGAATTTCTGCTCACTAATAATTTCTTAGAAGACCAAAAGTTCAAAAACGTAATTGAATGTCACTAGATAAGGGAGAACGAGTAAAAAATAGAAATAGTCTGTACATTCCTCTGTTTTTATTCATTCTATACTTAATGGTAATGCTAATGCCCTAGCTATTGGTAAGCATGAAGATGTTAATCGCAGAGACGACACATGGCTTACAGGCAGTTTGTGCTGTGACACAATGGTACAGGGAATACCCTCCTGTTGTGTCCTGAAGATATGGAGATTGTTTCTGGACAGAAATCGACAGTATACTGGTTTTAATCCAAGAAGAATATTATGAAAAATAAATAAATTCTTACATTAAAACCTGGTTCTCTTTCTTGGCTATTTCTGAAGTTGGTTCAGGCTCGGTTTTGGCAATGGTCCCAGCAATCTTTCAGGGGTCAGTCTCACCCAGTGGTCTTTTCCTTCATGCTTTGCCCTTATTCTCCGGTCTGAAGGGCGGGGGGGTATGTTTAGTGCCTGTTTCCACCTTGGGTGATATTGCAGACAAGTGTTTCCTAAGAAACTTTCCAGAGAAGCCACATAGTAGGCTTAGTCCAGTATGGGTAGGAGGTGTGAGATCAATAATTAGTTGGCCTATTCGATTTCATTTCCTTAAATAAAGACACATTGTCTTTTGCAGGGTAGAGTCCAAGGTAAAATTTCATCCAAAGGAGTTGCTCTGGGTAATATGGCGAACAATACAGTCTGGTCCGCATTGCCATCGGTACCGTGATCTGCAGAGGCTAAGGTTTGTAGATTTGACTGGCATCTGGGCCCAGGGGCATTCAACATATATAGCAAGGATAACATGAAGTCATAATGCTTGGCCCCTTTCATTGGTGCAAAAGCCCAATTTGATGTTCTCCTAAGAGTATTTTCTGTGGCACCTGTAAAATTGAAACTGTGAAAGTGTTATTGTTTTTGGGGCTTAATTATTGTACGACATGCTTAACAGTCCTTAGAATAACAAGTAAAAGCCCTGTTTTTGGTTATTGCTGGGATCTTTGCAAACTGAAGTGAAAACAGCCTCATCCTGTCACAATTTACCGGTAGATGCAGGTTACTTATATAAACATTAGCTCAAATGATCTATTTAACTGACTAGATTAAAAGAAAGTCAACATTAACGGAATAAAAATTGAAAATTAAAAATTGCAAAGGCTGATTCAGAGACCATGGATAGAGGGTGCACACGGGCGACAAAGTGGGACGTTGCGAGCACGAAGATCAGGTAGCCTCACCCAGAACATTTTGAAAACTAAAATGCGTCCCCTGGATCCAGATAGGGTGTGTGTGCTTGGTGTGCCCCCCACTAGGTAAGCCCTTGAAATGCAATAGAATAGAAACAATGTTTTGCTTCTTTTATAAATACATTATAAACAATGTTTTTAAAAAATCATATGTTTTCCCTTTGCAAATTATAAGTTTATAAGAATAGGTTGAATTTGCTTTTCAGTGATAACATATTTTTTTTTTGCAAATTGCCTGTAGAAAACAGCTTTGCCTCGTTGCCAATTCTTCACGACTCTCTATTATTTGTTCAGCTTCTGCTTCAATTCTCCCCCCCTAATCTGCTCTGTTCCCAAATTCACATAATCTGAACTGTCTCCAATATCCTGCTTGCTTGCACTTCTTACCCGAATCAATAGGCATGATGATCTACTAATAATTACACGCATGACTTAAATATTACTATGACCCCGACTTGTCAATCCGATCGACAGAAAAAATCAATACTTGTCAATGTGGAACTCGAGCCTCCAGATGATTGACACCAGCGTGATATAGGTTATATATCTGTAAACAATACAACTAGATTATCCGCGGACGGACTGTCTAGAATGTCATTCACTAATCAACTTGAATTAAATGTGTGGTAATCTAAGTCATTTTAATACAGATCTATATTTCGTTTCGTTTTTTTTTACTTTCGATGGCCTCCATGAAGATCTGATCAGTTGTAGTGGGAGGTTGAGACAGGGCTCATACAAACGGCTTTTGACCCTATGACGGATACCCACAGTTCTGTGCATCGCATGCCAAGAACTCACTGCAACAGACTCTTTCATCAGCTAGCCCCTTACATCAACAAGAATGCGGATTATACAACAACTCTTCCAGATCCTAGTGTAGTAAAGACAAGTAAATACGGATCTTATAAGTAACACTTTTCCCTTGACTGATCAGGGACCATCTCACACCGGCAGAAGTAAGTATAGTAAACAACAGTTTCGGACATGTGCAAGTGCCCAGGAGCAAACACACACTGGGAGTCAATCCAAACTGTCACACCGGTAAATGCAAACTAGTGCAGTAGTGGCTATCACCCACAGGTCTCATTTTACACCAGTAAAAGAACATTTAAATGATCGGATCATGTCAGTTTTGAAACAACAGTTAACACTATCTCTTTCTCTGCTTAAGTAGTAAATGTATTTTATTACATATTAAGTAATAATAATTTAGTTATGAAAAATATATGTGTGGCATTAATAAGAAGCAATATCACATTCAAATATACATGATACAAATATTAACCTATAATAAGTATATATATTGTTTAAGTATACCTTAAGGGCAAGGTAAAGTGACAAATATTGTCACAACACCTGAAATGGGGGGTCCTCAAAATTCATTCACAAGACATTTAGTACCTTTCTGTGTCGAATTACCGCTCAAAGGAAGTGTTGCTCGCATCAATGAGTTCATGCATGACTTATTTTTTTAATATTATCAAATCCCGTAAATGACACTTCAATTGTATTTTGATATAAATTAATCGTATTCCGATGTTGTTTAGATTAAAAAATTAAAAATTTGTATTTAAAATTAACACTTTGCTCATTGATATTAGCATAAGGTCAGGTACATACCAGATATTCGGACACGAAATGCTACCTACGAAACATTGTTTACATTTATACAACGGCAAAATGTGTTATTACTAAAGGGAATACGACATAATTGTATGTATGGTGATGTAAATGAAACCTTTGCATAACTATACAATGTTCCGTTAAGCGTTGTCAGTTTAACGATTATTCGCATCACTCTAAAGATATGAAGGGTCATTTTCAAGATTGAAAAAGAAAATTGGCGAATTCCAAACTCGTGGTAGCAAGACGTGGAAATCTCACAGTACAAGAAAATAGATCAGAGTATAAATAGAAAGATAATAGCTGTCCCCAAGTTTTATCGTTTTGTCTGTAGGTGTAACCGCGATTGGGCAAGAAAGTGATAAAACTGAAATTTTTGTTTACGTGATAACATGCGAATGTACGAATTAAAGGGGTATTGACAGTGAAATAGTGTATTGTGAGTAATAGTAATAGAGTTCATTTTGGACGTTGGTATCTAAAGGCCACTATTCTGTGTTGGGAAATAATATTGTCAGCCTTGTTGGTGTTGAGACTACTACGCAACAAGATGGTGTCACTTTACCTTGCCCTTAAATATCTCATTTTTGATAATCTAGATAATTAATTTTTTTGATTTTTATTATTCAAAAATGGCAAATTTTTTTTAAGACAACACCGGATACCAATTATCAGAGTAAATCCATATTAGAAATATTGTAATGGTTTGTCATGTATTCTAGAATTAAATGGGATATTGAAATGGACATTGTAAGCCCATAGGCACTCTTACTGATATTTACAAACAAACAAAACCATATAAGATATAGACACTCTTATGTAATTGACATTTAATAACAAAACCATATATAGACACACTTATGTAATTGACATTTAATAACAAACCTAAATCAGATATACTGGTAGATATTCTTATTTAATTGACATTTAATACAAACCGATATCAGATATAGACACTCTTAGACATTGGAATTTAATAACAAATAAGGATTTAACAAGAAATAATTATTAGTTATACTTGTCCACTATATTAGTAATAGGGAGCCACGGTGGCTCGCTAACCTGGAGGTTGCAGGACGTGAAAGTTCATGATTTTTTGGCGTGGTTTCCCCTTGTCAGTGGTGCAGGACTGAGGGCCTGACAAGAACAGCTGTCTAGTCGTTTGGATGGGACCAAACCCCCCCCCCCAAAAAAAAACGAGGTCCCATGTACACAATGATGTACACGTAAAAGATCCCTTGGCAGTTGGAATTTGATATAGAGTAGGCCATAGCACCGTTGTCCGGGCAAAATTTCCCTCATAGCACACTGTATGGCGTATGCCCGTCTTCATTAGCCCAGTCATAGCAGAACAGTAGGACGTTAACCCCATTTCATTTCTATATTAGTAATAAAGATTTAATTTGGTATCATCACATTAACACTGTCTTAGTCATAGAAATTTATTAAATCAATATCAGACATTCTAGCAGTAATCATCAATAGTCTTCTTTGTCTCGTGACTTTAAACACTGCATTTAAATTTAGAGTCCATAATATCTTATAATGTGATCAAGGGCCATAACATTAGCTGAAATTATCAGAAAATGCAGGAAATTAATAGGCCTTTCTATCTCATGACCATAATTTTAGCAACTGGCTGAGTGTAAACAAGATTTTTCCAGTTGATCAAGGGTGATAACACAGTACTTATTGGAAATTGTTGAATATCTATGGACATACATGTATACAATGTGCATCAATTTAAAGTCATTCTGGTGATACCCAATCTGATTAAAATACAGATCTATATTTCGTTTTGTTTTTTTATACTATCGAAGGCCTACACTACATGTGTAGTGTGCTTCGCACGCCAAGAACTCGCCGAAGCAGATCGTTTCATTGGCTAATCCCTCACTTCAACCAGAGCGCCAGTAATATAACAACTCTTCCAGATCCTAGTGTAGTAAAACAAAATTTGGAACTATAAAAAATGAAACGAAATAGGATCTGGGTGATATACCTGTAGGCTCTAGAGCACCCACAATTCCGCACGAACGGGTGACGACAATATACAATTACATTTCGTAACAAAATTTAAGGCAACAAAAAATACATCCACAGTCGTCCAAGCAGTCCATAAGGCAAAATCTTTAGATCTTATAATATTGCTGAAATTCAATATTCTTTTTAAACCAGCGGCTGCCAGGCAGGATACGCCCACATTTTGCAAGAGATGGATACAGAACAAGCTAAAAAGAACCAGGATTTTTTGTACAATCAGGGGTCCACAACCTTCGTATTGCATACTTTTACACAATTTGTGTACAAAGAGCGGCCATTTTGTCGGGCAGTTTCATTTCGATTTGTCCGAAATTCGAATTCAACCTTCATTACGGTGGAATGGTGAAATATTTAAACGGTTTATAAAATCGGAAAAAAAATTGTGACCTCTAGAGACTCCGCAAGCTAAAAATGCGATTTTTCGAACAATCAAGCTAAAAACATAATTCTGAAAGTCACTATCCGATATGCACGAATAATGAAAGGAATAATGATCTTTGGGTTATAAACTTACATTTCAAGGTTCATCAAAATCAGAAGAAAATTGAGCCCTCTAGAGGGTCCACAACCTTGATATACCAAATTTTTACGCCATTTGCGAACGAGGGCCGGCCATGTTGTCTGTCAGGTTTGGTCCGATTTTCACGAAATTCAAACGCCATCATCCTTAGGGTGTAATGGTGATATACTAAAACGTTTTTTTAAATCGGATAAAGATAGGTTGCCAGGCAACGAAACATACGCCCACAGCAGCTAAATCGTCCGGGCAGTCAACAAGAGTTGTCGCATATTTTTACTTTTTTCGGTAATGAAACATTTATAATACACTAAAATCTGATTAAGAGCAACAACTCAGAAAACCATTAGAATTTGTTTGGTTTTTATAAAGTTCTGCCCAATGCTAACGTTTTGTATACAAAACTTTTAATACTGTATCATGGATTTAGCTGTTCCAAGTCATAAAAATTCATTGAAAATCAATATACTTGTTCGTCTCAAGATCTTAAACTCTGTGTATCAATCTGAAGTCAATCGGATATTAACTTTGGCCTCTAGAGCGTCCACAAGATTTTTCAAAGTGATCAAGGGCCATAACTTTGGCAGTAATTATCAGAAATCTTTGAAAATCAATAGGATTATTCGTCTCATGACCTTAAACACTGTGTATAAATTTATAGTCAATCAGATATTAACTTTGGCCTCTAGAGCGTCCACAAAATTTTTTGAAGTGAACAAGGGCCATAACTCTGGCAGTAATTATCGGAAATCGCCGAAAATCAATAGGCTTCTTCGTCTCATGACCTTAAACACTGTGGATAAATTTAAAGTCAATCGGATATTAACTTTGGCCTCTAGAGTGTCCACAAGATTTTTTGAAGTGATCAAGGGCCATAACTCTGGCAGTAATTATCGGAAATCGCCGAAAATCAATAGGCTTCTTCGTCTCATGACCTTAAACACTGTGCATAAATTTAAAGTCAATCGGATATTAACTTTGGCCTCTAGAGCGTCCACAAGATTTTTTGAAGTGATCAAGGGGCATAACTCTGGCAGTAATTATCGGAAATCGCTGAAAATCAATAGGCTTCTTCGTCTCATGGCCTTAAACACTGTATATAAATTTAAAGTCAATCGGATATTAACTTTAGCCTCTAGAGCTTGTGGACGCCGGACCGACGGACGGACGGGGGCGACGACAATATACGACCACATTTCAATGTGGGCGTATAAAAATTATGACCTCTACAGGGTCCATAAGCTAAAAACGTGATTTTTCGTACAATCAGGGGCCATAATTCAGAAAGTTATGGTCCGATATGCGCGAATATCGGAAGGAATCAAGATCTTTGGGTTATAAACTGACATTTCAAGTTTCATCAAAATCAGAAGAAAATTGTGGCCTCTAGAGGGTCCACAACCTTGATATACCATATTTTTACGGTATTTGAGAATGAAGGGCGGCCATTTTGTCTGTCAGTTTTAGGCCGATTTTCACTAAATTCTAACTCGGTCGTCCTTAGGGTGTAACGGTGATATAATAATACGTTTTTTTAAATCGGATAAAAATTATGATCTCTATAGGGTCCACAAGCTAAAAACGCAATTTTTTGTACAAACAGGGGCCATAATTCAGGAAGTTCGAACTCAGTCGTCCTTATGGGTGTAACGGTGATATAATAATACGATTTTTTAAATCGGATAAAAATTATGACCTCTATAGGGTCCACAAACTAAAAACGTGATTTTTCGTACCATCAGGGGCCATAATTCAGGAAGTTCGAACTCAGTTGTCCTTAGGGTGTAACGGTGATATAATAATACGATTTTTTAAATCGGATAAAAATTGTGACCTCTATTATAGGGTCCACAACCTTGATATACCCTATTTTTACGCTATTTGAGAACAAACGGCGGCCATTTTGTCTGTCAGTTTTGGGCCGATTTTCACGAAATTCGAACTCCGCCGTCCTTAGGGTTTATCGGTGATATAATAATACGTTTTTTAAATCGGATAAAAATTATGATCTCTATAGGGTCCACAAGTTAAAAATGCGATTTTTCGTACAATCAGGGGCCATAATTCATGAAATTTCAGTCCGATATGCGTGAATATCGAAAGGGACCGATATCTTTGGTTTATAAACTTACATTTCAAGTTTCAACAAAATCGGATAAAAATTGTGACCTCTATAGGGTCCACAACCTTGATATACCATATTTTTACGCTATTTGAGAATGAAGGGCAGCCATTTTGTCTGTCAGTTTTGGGCCGATTTTCACGAAATTCGAACTCAGTTGTCCTTAGGGTGTAATGGTGATATAATAATACAGTTTTTTAAATCAGATAAAAAATATTACCTCTATAGGGTCCACAAGCTAAAAACGCGATTTTTTGTACAATCAGGGGCCATAATTCAGGAAGTTACGTTCCGATATGCATGAATATCGAAAGGAACCAAGATCTTTGGGTTATAAGCATACATTTCAAGTTTAAACCAAATCATATAAAAATTGTGACCTGTACAGTGTTCACAAGCTAAAACGTGATTTTTAGTACAATCAGGGGCCATAATCCATGAAGTTACAGTCCGATACATACCAATATCGAAAGGAACCAAGATCTTTGGGTAATAAACCTATATTTCAAGTTTCATTGAAATCGGATAAAAATTGTGACCTGTAGACTGTTCACAAACAATTGTGGACAGACGTCCGGACAGGGGTGACGACAATATACGTCCACATGAAAATGTGGGCGTAAAAAAACCAATAGGATTCTTCATATCATGACCATAGCCCTATGTATACGTTTAAAGTCAATCAGATAATAACTTTAGCTTGTAGGATGTCCACAAGCAATTTATGACTACATTTATGACTACATTTATTAGCCAGAACAAGTCTGAACATTCTATCTGAATTAGAAGTATTATCCCAAAAAGTGAGACAGACAAACAGACAAACCCATTTTAACATTCAGTTTTTTTTTTTTTTTTGTATTTTAGAAGAGAGCCGAAAAAAGCTCCCCTTAATGAACAAATTGCTCCCCTAAAAAAGCTCTCCCAGTTTCGATAAGAAGAGTGATTTTGAAATTAAGGAGAGTGATATGATATTAAGGACAGTGATTATTTGTATGTATGGGAAATAGTTCTAAAGATCAATAACTGCGTGTAAGGGTTCATTCCCTTAAACATCGTCTGCTAAATAATAGTACTTGTGTGGTCAAGTCAAACCTTTGCTATTGTCTAAAACTACTTACGGTATTCCAATAGACTTACTTGTCGACATTTCTAAATATATATAGCTTGTATAAATTTTGTTTAAAAACATAACCCCTATTCAAAATAAAATCATAAACACTGGAAAATTCCATCAAAATATAATCTATTTCTTCCAGAATTATTCTCATTGGAAATTTTCATGTGCCATCTCTCTTAATTTCTTATGTCTCGCAAGAGTTCTACTTTACATTTCATAGGCGCCATCCATCAGAATTTTATTACCATGTGTGATCACATTATACACTAATCCAGTGATTCTCAACCAGTGTGCCACGAGATCTTCCTAAGCATGCCGCGAAATTTAAATGGCACACTAAAGAAATGCGAAAAATCACATAATTTAAATTGCGTATTCACTGGTGTTTTTCTTTATTTAGTTTTAGTCATTCTATGTGTCTATGACTAGTTTCTGTCTATGGTTGTATGCCGTCTGACTTACCATGTTTTTATTTTGTAAAATTCAAATTTTTTTCATGTATATTTATTTCATGTGTTCCAGGGTGTGCCGTTGGCAAAAAAAGGTTGAGAACCACTGCACTAATCAAATACACCAAAAGAAATGTTCACAATGACAGCATGGCGACGATCGAAATGTGAATCTTTCACTCTTTTAAAAAAAATACATATGTCCAAGATTTACAAATAAGGAGAGCGATTTTCAATTTTAAGGCAAGGGAGATAAACCTCTACTCATCAGGTTATCTTTCTGTATCGATTAATATAATAATTTTAAAGGGAACATTAACAAATGATAATAATTATAAACACTTTAGCATTGAAGTATACCATTATACATTTATATCACCGTTGGATACATTATTCCATTTTTTACTGTCTGTATGTTTTGATAAATGATTTAATTCATCTCGTATACTGTCTATTAACAGGCTTGGAGACACACCTGGCTGAATGCTCTTTTTAATAACATCCATTTCATCCTCCCCGTGCCATGCTTGATGTGGCCGGTGTTTAAATTTACCTGCATGTCCGTTACCATGGTTACTGGTTAACATTTCCATTTCAATATTATTTTCATCAGTAAAACTGTTCACATTTCCGTACGAAGTCAAGTGTGTTGTTGGAATATCTTCAAAGTTTTGTATTCCAGGATACGAATAACTTTCATTGGGCATGGCAGACCCTCTGTGAGAGATTCCATTTTGCTTAGTACCATTATTGTCTAAACCTTTTGTTTTGATGACAATAGGCTTGGCTGGTTCAGTTGTATAATAATTATCACGTAAACCAGTTTGTAAATTCTCACTAAAGGTAGATGTATTCAGTTTCTCCTGTCTTGGTGTCCTGTCCTTGATAACCTTTGATATAATTTCAAATGAAAAATAATTAAAATCAAATTCATTCTATTTATGCATTAGACAAGTGATTGTCATGCAAGATACACCCACATTTTGCAATTTTTTGTACAATTGGGCCATAATCCAGGATGTTAGGTCTGACATTTGTCAACAAGAGCATCGCTAACGCTGCAATATTCGTTCACATTCCTGCTTTCATTGAAAAGGTACTTTTTAAAATGATGAGAATGAAATATGAAATGGCAAAGAAGGCTAGGCATTTGTTTTGCCAAATTTCCCGACAAAATTTTAACAAAAAAGTGGGTTTGACACTGCACCAGGGGGTCGGGGCATGCAACAAAATAAATAGTTGCTGTCTTTACGGTATAAGGAATAAATATGCAAAGGTCCAAGATGATCAATTCAGAATTGCAGCCTGTAAACGATAAATACAACCAGCGGCTGCCAGGCAGGATACGGCCACATTTTTCAAGAGATGGATAGAGAACAAGCTAAACAAAAAGTGATTTTTCGTAACATCAAGGTTCCCAATTCAAGAAGGTACGATCAGATATGTGTGAATATCGACAGGAACCAAGATCTTTGCGTTATAAACAGGCATTTCAAGTTTCATTAAAATCGGATCAAAATTGTGACCTCTAGAGGGTACACAACCTTGATATACCAGATGTTTACACTATTTGCATTGAGGGGCGGCCATTTTGTCTCGCAATTTTCGTCCAATTTTCACGTAATTTGAACTCAACCATCATTGCAGTGTAACGGTGATATATTTAAACGTTTTTGTAAATCAGATAATAATTGTGACCTCTTGCGGGACCACATTTTGTCTGGCAGTTTTGGTTCGATATTCATGAAATTCGAACTCAACCAACCCCCCCCCCCCAAAAAAAAAATTTACATAGTAAACCCTAACTACTATTTATTTACAACAATTATTAGGATTAGTTAAGATTCTATCTGTATAAAACCTGTACATATCCCAATATGGTTTACATTGCTAAAATAAAATAAAACCAAGTACGAACAATCCAAACCATAAGACAGAATTCGAAGTCCTAAAAAACGTTATAGGCAAATTAGTGTATTCAAGCAAAATAGTGTAATCATCAAATGGACTGCTCCTCGTGTAGAAAATACACGACAAACAGTGGTAACAGGTGTCCGGAAGAGTAAGCTTACCCTGCCTGGCGCCACACCCGCCATAGCTGCATCCAAACTATTAGGCGAAATGTCGGTAAAATAGCGTGATTGGCCAATGAACTATCGGTATGCAAAATGCACGCGATGAACTGTGTTAACGATGTAGTAGACATTATCAGGGAGATAGTAATAGTATACGTGTCAATTAAATATATCTAGAATAATAGCCGAGAGAGACACGTTATATTTACCAATCAAATCAATATGACGGCCATAAAACTTTTTAAAGGTTTTAATAAGTTTAGTGCGCAAGTATCCTTGTAGTTGAAGCTTAGATGACAAATGCCTCGATCTACTTAAAAAATCAGAATAAAAGGAACAAGCTCTCGCGTAACGAATTAGCTGAGACACAAACACTCCATAAGCTGGTGATATTGGAATGTTACTACTAATAAATGGAAAGTTAACAATCAGAAAGTCAAAGTTATCACGTTTATCGTACAATTTAACACTCAGTTTATGGCAATTGTCAAAATCGAGACGCAGATCCAAGTAGGAAGCGTAATTGTCACTGTCAGTGATGCTTTTAATTTCGAGCTCATCAGGATATATGAATTTACAATTATTAAGTGATAAAACGTCATCGATATAACGATAAGTGAAATTAAAAAGTCTGACTGATCGTTTATTAGTTTTTACGAGCGTCTGTATGTAATCGGCTTCGTACAAATAGAGAAACAGATCAGCAAGCAAAGGTGCACAGTTGGTGCCCTTGGGGATGCCAACCACTTGCTGATATATTTCCCCTCCAAATTCAACAAAGATGTTATCAATTAAAAAATCCAACATCTGAATTATCTTGATGGACGTGAATTTGTTTTTGGAATCACTGTGATTCTTAACGAAATATGTGGAATTGTAATTTACAACGAAATATTGATATCTAGCAGTACCTGATTTAGACGAAAAGACACTGTGAATAATGTCTTTCAACCGGGCTTTTAATTTACTATGGGGAATTTTAGTGTACAAAGTAGAAAAGTCAAACGTTTGAATAGACGAGACTGAAGCAAGGGATCTAGATTGCAAACCATCAAGTAATTCTTTGGAATTTTTCAATATCCACATTTGATTTATACCACTACGAGAGTATATTTTTTCACAGTATTTTTGAATACCCTCTTTAACAGCCGTTAGTATAGATGTCAATACTTTTGAAAGTGGTTTTGTGGAACAACGGGATGAACCTGCCATAAAACGTTGCTTGTAGGGATTTTTATGTAGTTTAGGTATCCAATATAACAAGGGCAAATCTGTATAGGTATCTCCACACGGAGTACTAAATGAAGTCAGTACAGATTTGTGATTGGATATAATTTCATCCTTACTAAGAGTAGATCGTTTATATGTAGCACTGTCGATTGGTTTCCCGAAATTAAGTTCTTTGAACAGACAGTCAAAATAATGTCGTTTACATATAAACACTATGTTATTGGACGCCTTATCAGCCGGAACAATGACATACTTGTCATGCAAGGCATTGAGATTTTCAACAATGCTAACATCATTGAAAATAGACTTAGGCCTAGTGTCAACTGACAAACGTTGCATGTATATTCTTCGTTTAAGTAAACGACTGATAGACTTAGTCCAATCAGAGAGTGTATCCGAGATAACATCTTCCCTCTTGGCCCATTTTCTAGCGTAGTCCTCTACGGCATCCATAATAAGTTTGAAATTTTGATTCCATGAAAATGGTTGCGGTTCCCAGTATTTGGGTCCTTTGGACAAAATTTCACGAAGCTTATTATTCTGGACTATGTTCAAATCACCAGTGACCACATGTCCAGCTGGTGGGTAAAGGAAGGACGACGTAGAGCAAGAACATGGTAGAGGGTTATTATATAAGTCTTTTGCATTGATGTCAGATAATGCGTTTCTATAATTAAATATTTTGGATGCAATGGGTTTAGTATAAGTATAAGAAATCCTAGGAACAGTAACAGTTTTGAAGTAAGGAGGGATGTGTGCTGTGACTTGCTTATGGTGTAATATTTGGCTTAACCCGATAGCATCAATGCCTTTATTAGCAAATTTCAGTTTTAGAAATGAACTGTTGGTGGTGTGCGACGCATCAGGCTCAGTCGCAATGTCCAAACGATGGTGGGCAATGTCAAGAACAATGGATACAACCCTGTATTCAGTGGATGCAGGATCAGTACAATTTGAATCCAGACATTCAGATTTAAGTAATTTCAAAATAGTAAGTGGAATAGAATATAATTTAGTACGGATATGGTGTGGCCCTAATGGTTCTTGAATAATTTCCAAAAGGGCATCCAGTGATATAGTGCTGAGCTTCGGGGGTGTGTAGAGACGATGTCCATGACAGCGTTTTCGACGACGAAACTTTGGGAATAACGTCATGACATTAACATCGCTACACGCAGGGCTCGATAAATTCCCAATACTAGCTACATTGTCATTGCATCCATAAGGGGTGGCAGTACCTAATGTTCGTATCCAATATTCCTCTCGGTCTCTGCGAAAGGGAGTACTCAAAGTAGGGCTGTTAGTATGGTGGTAAATTTTCTCTAATATGGACAGAGAATCATCCTTGAAACATGACATGTGAAGTGAAAAGTTACTGTGTTCCATAAATTTGTGTCTAGTTAATTTTTTTCTGCCATTATCAGAGTGAATCGCATGTAGGTACCCAAAAACATTATCGCCTAAACCAAATATTTATCGCCCGCTCAGCCAGCCACGTAACCATAATACTTTGCATGCGGTATCTTGGTAGACAGCAAACGAGTTGTGTAGACAACATGGTCACATGGTGTTTGTTTATAATATTTTTTAGGGGTTTTAAAATAGGGTTAGGGTTAGGGGTTAGGATTGCGGACCCCCCCAATATATATTTCACGGCTACGCCTCTGGGTGTAACGGTGACATATTCAAATATTTTTTTTTTAAATCAAATAATAAGGCTGCGGTTAATTAATTGTCAGTTTCTCATGACCTGAGTTTGTGAAATATACACAATAATTGTGAAATTATTGAGATGAAATTTAATTGTTTTAGCTTAATGCTGTTTCTATTTCAGCAATAACTAATGTCAGTTACTTGGTCGTTGAAAAACCAATGGTAACCATGTGTCCGCGATTTATTCACATTTATTAAATATTTTTTTAGATTGAAATATCGATTGCACAATAGACGGGCATCGGAATACTTGATCATAATACATGTAATATGTCTAAATTATTAGTAATACGCTTCTAAGTTAACGGTTCGTTAATTCATTCATTCTTGGCATTTCATTTCTTTATCCGTCCTTACTTTGACAGGTTACAAAATGACCTGTACCAAACTGGTTGATGATTTGTTCTGACATAAATAATTAAAAACATACCCTTGGATTTTTAAATACAAAATAAGTTAGATTATTTAACATGGCAGTTAAAGAATTTACTACACGTGGTCGTTTCTCTAGCCGTGAAGGAAGATAGTACCAATGCTATAGCAATAGCCTGCGTGTTTACGCTTCAACTTTGAACCCATCATCGGCACATGGCATCATGATAATATAAATACTTTTATTATTTTGTCTATCTTAATCAAACTGTTTACATTTATTTGTATCTTTGTGTCCTCTTGAGACTGTTTATATAGTGTTGTTAATAAAATACGGTGAAAGGCGTGAAGCCATTTTGTCCGGCAGTTTTGGTCCAATTTTCACAAAATTCAAACTCAACCATCATTAGGGTGTAACGGTGGTATCATAAAAAGTTTTTTTAAATTGGATAAAAATTGTTAACTCTAGCGGGACCACAAGCTTAAAACCCAATTTTCAT